AAAAACATTAAATGTCCATTGAAAATAATTTGTATTACGGAATGTATTATGTATAAATCTAGAGACTGATTAAAGATAAAATAAATAACAACTTGTTAAAAGAAGATTAACATAGCAATAGAAGAAATGTATTTCTTATTTTTCAAGAATAATTATCAGTCAGTGATTACTGAAACTAATATTGGGCTCTAAGTATCTTTATCTTATCAAAGAAAGTGTCATTAAAGCTATCCGCAACGAGCTTGAATGGAAAGTGTTTTTGTGTTGGCTCCATTGGCCAAAGCTCATGCTGAAAGCTCAAACTAGTTAGCGCGGTGACAAAAAGTAACCGAACGATGTTTTCGGCTGAGCATTTTCAACAAAAAGGAATAAACTACTGGATAAATTGAAGGAGGTAATGGAAGCTGATCGTTGATACAGAGTAAATCGATTGGTTGCTGGAGCTCAAATGAAAAGCTGGGTCTTTTTTTATTAACTGAAAAAAACCAAAACTACCTATCAAAAACTTAATTGGCATTTTCCTAGGTTTTTACGCATCTCTGCAAACAAAAGCCTATTATATAGTTGTCTATTAGTAGGACTTTTTCGAAAATGTGAATCGGCTAATGGCGAGGGCCTTTATACACTAAAGTCGGCCGAACTAACACGCACTTAATATTTATATGTTGGAAGATACGCCATATGGCGTCTAGGGAAGAATACATCTACAAATAGATTTCTAAACTCGCATACTATTGCAAGATACTCGCAAGAATTGGCAGATTCGTTGTATTCCACCCTGTACGTATAGTATATACTATGAAAAATAAAATATATATATATATATATAATCTATCGTCTTCCTAGTCCTATCATTCGGGTAATATAGCTCTTAGGTAAATTTCGACACTAACGCAAACATTTTGACACTTCTTCTTTATTTGAAATTGGCCATCGTTCCACAACGCCTTTATTACCTGCTAAACCATCTAAATCTTCGTAAATCTAATACACTTAAAATTGGGACTGGGACTGGGACTGATTATTAAGGAATAATTTAAGTCGTAATAATTCCTTAACGTCCATCGGCAGATTCGTTTCATCGATTGCCGGCGGGGTGATAGACCCATTTTAGACATTCCGCGTATGTGTCTGTTCATTTGGTTAAAATGATTTCTAAATCCTAGTCCGCAATAAATGGATTATATTCTAAACACTTGACGTGCGTGCATGGTAGATCATCTCTATTGCCATTAAATCTGCTGAAGCTTGACATTTGCCCGGTGTCTCTTTAGAGAAAATAGTTGGACGTGCCATCATGGATCACGTTCCACTCCAGCTCACGATATGAGCCAGTATTCATCCGCAAATGCAATTCTTTACCCTTCTTTTAATGTACTCCTCTCGCCAACATTGGCATGACGAGATTATTCCCAAGGGAAGCTGCGCTGTCCGTGATTAAAATTTTAAGGCCGTGGACAGGTAGATGAAAGCCTATGTTGATGGACAATGAAAATTACGTTCAACTATGAATTAAAGGTATGGTGCACAGACTTGTTCTTAACTTAAGAAACGTCTTCATATATATTTATATGTATACTAAAAACAATACACAATTTTATTTTCTTCAATTGTCTCAGAGAAATCGTAGACAGGCTACAAATCCAGCTCGGGGGTCTGCCAGTGTAGGCTAGTTAGGACACACATTATGGTATACACTTGCGCAACTTGAGCGCAACTAAGGGCAACTGGACGTGAAGAGATTTCCGTCTGAATTTAAAGCAACAACAACAATGGAGACAAATCTGGTGTAATTTCAAATCGGCAAAGGACACTTAGCAATGACCATAGCAAGTACGCAAAAGATCATATGTTGCGGATGATGTCGACTAGGTCTTCGGTCGGACTTCAGCTTTAAGAATAATAAGAGACGATCTTTCTTGCTAGCAGAAACTCTATGTCAACAGCCCACTCACATTTTGAGCTAACTACAGTATAACTAGCAGCTTGTAAGAATACACAAGTTCCTTTTTGAACCTATATTCAAAGAAGCAGACCTTCTCACATACGATGAGTATCGTACATTTCATTGCTGCACTGATAACTTACTAATAACGTCTTATATTAATAATAATTACGTCTTATATTTAATGTACTTCTTGCGTAAAAATTTTATCAATCTCAACTGCTCTTGCAGTTCTAATGCAAAAAGTAACGTATTATTGGTTCAACGGTACCTGACAGCTTTTGTAGACGTATTGAAGAAAACCGAAGAATGACCTATATCATTTAACGCCGTCATCTAAGCATGGAATCGATCGAAATCGTACGGACCTCAACTAGGACAATCGGAAATCACCCTGTTGTACTCGACGCGGGTCGTGATGAAAGTGTGACGATGAAATCGCGCCTGTAGTATCACCTCTCAATATGCAACAATAGTATATATAATTCAATGTGATTTAACTTCAAAAACGAGCTCTTATACAAGGCAAATAGAGACAAAGTTCGATTGGAGCATTCATTCGCAGCGCTCTGTATGTGGTAGCCTTGAGTAGCCAAAAAGAAAAAAAAAAAACATTTTACAATCTACCTTTTGTCTTCTGGTCTAATGGGTGTCTCACGTCAACATTGACGTGTATTCATATCATAACCAAAGAGTGTCAGCCAGACCCATTTGATACCATCAAAGAGACTATATTGGCTAGGCAGGGCAGCAAAGCTAAGCTTATTTCGTAATAATTGAAAAGCTGGACCGAAGGGTTCTAGGATCGATGAGCATATCGCAAAAAAGTATTGCTACAGATTGTTAACGCGTTGCATAGGTCTAGGGGTAACTTCGCCGACAGGACTTTAGCAGGAGCGACAAATGTGCCCTTAAAAACGTCACATTTTCAGACGCCTTATTCAATTTGAAGAACAACTCTCATATTGATTTTAAGACAAACATTGAAAACTGTGATGCTACGTATACAACAAGTTAACACAAGAACCACTAACGAATTGAAGGACTAGGTCTATTGCTGTTCCAGAGCTAAGCTGAATCCAATACAAAAAAAACCTTAAAGGCAACTCAGATCTATTTGTATGGTACGCTGTACACAATACGAACTAACTTTTCCCTTCGCCTGCACACAGATACAAAACTGATCGAGCAAGCAGCACTTCCTTTGTTTCGTCACACGTTGCTAATATCTGCTTCTTAATGGGCCATGGCTGTAATGCGTCCTCACGTTATTGAAGTACTCTTACGGAAATGGGCTAGAATATTTCTCTTCATGCGACGATATCTAGCTCGTAATGATCTTATTTCTTTGAAAGAAAAAATGTCTGTATTAATGACGCGGAACAATCAACAGTGGATAAGCATGGGCTATAGCTTAGCGATAAATAGATACCGCCACAGATAGAAGTGGGCCGTTAAATTCAACAATTAGGCATTCTCAAGACTCAAGAGGTGATCCGAAGTGATGCCCATAAAATATTGTGCTTGCCGTGGGTTAACGACTAAAAGGTGATCTGCGAAATGTTGTGCGTTTGCAATCGATCCTTGTGCAGGTTTCTGTAGATGTTATCTACAATACGTAGGCCCTGGGTCCATACTAGGGTTTTAGGTTTTACATCCGTCATTGCGCTAACAATACGTTTACAAATAGCGTAGTGTCATATTCTTTATAGATAGAACTAACTTATTCATCTAAGCCAAGGTGCTAGCGTAGAAGTTTAGAGCTCATCGTGTCATCAACCAAACAGATAAACTGAATAAAAGATGCTTCCAGTTTTTACTTCCTAGACAATCACTTACATACCTACGCTATGCTAACGATCGATTTTTTAAATACTATACAACTATGTTAGCCTTTCGAAATTTCCATGAATGCCACGTCGGAGCACTGATTTGAAAGTCATTTAAAATATGTTGGCTAACCAGCCCTTACAGATAGAGACAAAACGTACGAGCGCTATAGAATACACGTGTTTTATTTGACCTGGTCGTTTTGTGCCCCCCGCCTAGCTCTTTTCATCCCTGTTTCTCTCTTTCGAAGTTATTAACCTTCGATTTTTAGGCTTCACTGTACATCGATAGCATTTCGTAATTATAGGTGTTGGCCAACGCGACTGTATTTCTGCCTCTACTCCTCAGCTGTCTGGGACGAGTGAGCCATTATAATGAACAGTCGATGTATCCGGCCACCGATTCAGGCCGTTTCCACCCGCCTTACGCTAAACAATCACCATCACGATTACCGACGCCAACGTATAGTAAGCTGTTAGACGAACAAATGTCGAGCGCACTAACCACGTAACGCTTGTCGAAATATAGCAACTCCTGTGTGTGCATGGTTGGCGTCAATGCCGAGCTTACCAGATCAGGAAAGCTCAAAGATTGAAACAATCACACTCAATCGCTGACACGAGCATATGTAACAACAACGTAGCTGATCCTTTGACATTGGCAAAAAAAAAAATGGCCGTAGGTGACAAAAATGAAGATCGAAAACAGCAAAAAACTGTTTAAACGTAAGAATTGCTCCAAACTGGGCCGAGACACGACCCCGGTGTCGGGTGGAGTTTATAGCATCAGTGGTGAAATGATTAACTAATGATATGAAACAGGATTGAGGAAAGGAAGCGGACAATAAACGGGCCACTTGTAGCTGCCGTTTTTAGACAACTATTCGAAATACTAACTTCTGTCTGTAGCTATATAGCCGTCCTTTTTGGAGTCACGACAAATTTCATATGGTATGTACAAGTTGACAAGATTTTTGTTCGGTACGTTATTACTGCAACGACAGAAACGGCCATCCGATGAAAATCGGTGAAACCGAAATGGACACGAACGGGTCACGTACTGAATAATAGTATTCATGCGCGAACGTTCTGTGGACGAATCGAAGGGAACACTAATAA